ACACACACACACACACACACACACGCAGCAGCAGCAGCAGCACAGAACATTTCCTCCTCTCATTCAGTAAAGAAAGAAGACAAACAGCCTGAGCCACTTTGCAAAAAAAAAAAAAAGTCTGTCCGTCACCTGTAGCTTAACCAGGGAGTGATGTCTCCACCATAAAAGCTGTCACAGGTCCATTCTGAGCTCAGAAGCTGTTTGTTTACGTTCATGACGAAAGTAAAACTCTTCTCTGTGTGTTTATTTTTTATTTTTTATTTTTTAAATTTTTTGGCCGGGGGGAGTTAGCAACTGCACAAGTCAGTGCTTCTGTTCTGAATAAAAGCCTGGTGCATGTAAACACTGGTTTGCACAAGTTTAATAGTCTACTAAGTTTAGGACTGCATGATGTCTGTTCTTGTAAATAAGATGTATCTTCATGGCTGACAAGTTTGAGTTGAGTGTGTTTCCCTTTATTGCTTATAATATTGGGCATGTGTATTGTGTATGTTCATTGCACTTTAGCAAATTCTGAGAAATAAAGCCACAAAGTGAGAATGTTTTTGTTTTGGGCATTTTTAGAGTAACACAAATTCACAACACAAGTTAGTCAAATTAATTTGTAAAGAATAATATGTTGTCTTTTTTTAAGACTAAAACTAAACAATTTTTTAAGCTTTCGTTGACTAAAACTCGACTAAAACCATTAAATATAGAAATGACTAAAACTGACTAAAACTAAGAAGTGTTTTTGTTCAAAAGACTAAGRCTAAAATTAAAATGGCAGTCAAAAACAACACTGGTTCAGAGAATGAAGTTCCTCTCAGCAGTAGCTAGTGGTGTCTCGATATCAGCAGTTTTACAAGTACTGGTATTCAAACTTGTAGAAAATGTTCCAGTACTAAGGCCTATACCAATACCAGTATTTATACTGATAGATATACTGCACTGAATACATTAGAGTTTACTTTTCAAGTGAAAGTTGAAAGAAAATCTTAATTATTTGTATTTATTGTACAATGTTACAACAGTTCATATCCTGCTGTGTATTTGATGCAGTCAGAGGGGCTGTAGAGCTATGAAGGAGAGCCACCTTGTTCTAAATAAAACAAATGTCTTTAAAGTCATTGTACAATGTTTAGGTTCAAACTCAGTATCAGTACTCGGTATACTCGAGTACCYAAATTGAAGTACTTGTACATAGTTTGAGAAAAACTGGTATCAGGACACCTCTAGCAGTAGCTCTGTAAGTTTTATGTCATTTGACTTTTTATTCTCTTTTGAACAGTTTTCTCTCATGCAGAAATATTATAGAAAATAGAATTCTGGAAACGTCCAGAGTCTCTGCTGTGCTGCTCATCCTGTTACAACCTTGTCTGAACAGCTTTTAATGACTTTAAATCCTCCCGGTTGTTTTTCAGGGGTTTCTAAAGGGCCTCCCATGGCTCCTGAGCCAGAGGTGGACGTAGAGAACGCTCCCAGCCCACCTTCAGACCCTCCAGGGTCCCCAGAACCTGAACCCTCTGACAGCTCCAAATCAAAAACATCTCGGAGGAAAACCAAGGTGGAGGAATGAATTCATCCTCTCTGACGTCACCGCGGTCAGACCTGAAACTCTAGAATGAAGGGTGAGATAGACAAACAGCTACCGTCTGTAGTTAAAGACTGGACAGGTCAGGCTCTGCGTTCTCTTTGTGACTAGATTCCTGTAAGGGTTGTGAATTTCCAGGCAGCTGTGACGAAACGTCTGAAGCAGCGGAAGAATCTTTGTGTTCATTTGTATCAAAGCCGCTCACATCGTCTGAAGATGTTCAGCAAGAAGTCGGAATGATTCTCGCCCCTCATCTGGCTGTAAGATCTGAACCACTGAGACAATCAATGTTCAAACCGACGAGGAGGAGGAGGAGGAAGAGTCTGCTTATATCAGATGATAATAGAGAGGATTTAGTCTGCATAAATGTCCTGTTTATAAAGAGTATTTATTATTAAATAAGACATTTTAAAGAAACTCTTGCTCTCGCTTCCTTTTTGAAAAGTATTTTTTATTTATAGTTTTATGTTCTTTTAGTTGAGCAGAGCTCATTGGCTCTGGGTGATAAATTTAATCTTTAATTCATGTTTACAAAGTCTGACAATCATTTCATTAAAGCTGATTTTTTTCCTGTATTTTCTGACTGACAGAGTTCAGACAAATGGAAACTTGTTCCAATATGTTTAACTGTAAGAAGTTATGGTGGCAGATTGTCTGGTTGTTCTCCATCTCATTGGTTGTGTTTTGGTGATTTGTTACCTGTGCTCTTTGATCTCTGGCTCTGCTGCAGCTCCGCCCACACTCACCTGATCCTCTTCTTTCCACAGGTGTTCCTTGTTGTCTTCTCGTGTCCCTTTTACTTGTTGTGCTCCCTCCATTTTGCTTGCAGGTTGATTTTTTTTAAATCTGACAGCAAAAAGTGGAAACTTTTGTAAAAAAAAAAAAAAAGAAGAAGAATTTATTAGCACCATTAACCTCCTGTGGAGAACTAAAGCCCACAGCTTTACGCTCTGTAGGATCCTCCACAGCTGACGTGTTAATAATTCAAATACTTCAGACTTAAATTATTGATTTCAGACCTTTTTTTTTATTCTGAAACTAAGAGCGAGAGCTTGTTCMACTGAGTCCAGCTTCCCAACCCAGCTGTTTCCGGTGACACCCTTCAGACCAGACTGAAACTCTGAGATCTGACACCATGGTTTGACCCTGAAGAGGCTCACGGCTGCTTTAACAAACACCGTTTACTCCACATTTACTGCCAGGAGACAGTGGTTTCTATTGTTTTGTTTCCATTAGGAGCTTGTTAAGCTGTGCCTGCTCAGATCGCCTCTGGTCCTGAGTTTTACAGGCCTGTGAGTTACCGTCTCTTCTGCAGTTTTATTTCAGCACAGCGCTGAAAGATTGCTTTTCTATTTCTCATCTTCCAACAGTTCAAATAGCCTCCAGGAGAGTCTGAGCTGAGACTGGAAGTTTCATATAAAGTTCTGGGGCTCGGGGGAACCGCACYCCSATGTGTTCGGTCTCATTGTTGGCCTGTGTTTTTTTTTTTCAATACGGCATTCAGTGGAAGATGCACCCCTTCTAATGAAGTCTCTAAATCCAGGACTCAGTGCCGTCTGTGAAATAACAACGAGCTGAAGCTCCGTTTGATCATTTCACTTAAAGTCATCCTAACGATATGAGCTTCTACCAGAACAAACCAGACTGAAGATCTACAGCAGAGATGAAGAGAAACATGTCAGTATGTGGATTTAAGTTTATTAAAAATGTAACTAATGTATTCCTTAAAGCACRAGTCAAACACAAGGCCTGTGGGCCACATGTGGCCAGTCATTGCATTTTATGTGGCCCAAGAGAGCTTCAAAGATGCAATAAAGTGCCTATGACATCTATTTTTTTGTGATAAATATTATTGCATTTTTGGAAAGATAACATTGCAAAAGCAATTTCACACCACTGAGATGAACTGTTGTTGAGATATTCGCATGTGAAGTTACAGGAAGTGATGTCAAAGGGGAGTGTGTGCATGTAAACAGAGCTTTGCTACAACAGCCAACAACACAGACAGCAGGGAATTTTCTGATATTTCTTTAGATAATTTTAGTCCCTATAAGAGAGAGATGAAGAGTGAGAGTTCAAATAATATTGTTTTAATGAATAAAAATCAGAGAGTTTTCTTTCTTAAAGAGTTCCCCTTTGATGTCACTTCCTGTTTCACTTTAGCTGAGCCAAATTCAAAGGAAAATATGCCAGTTATGTGACAAAATGGGCTAAATCGTGTTTTTATGGCACTTTTCCTAAATAAGAAATTTTCTTTGACTTTTTGTATTTAAAGGATATGCATGTCACAGGCACTTTAATGTCTTAAAATAAGTGTATGCTGTTTAAAGCCAGCATTGACCGTAAACCACATCTCCCATAAAGCATGTTCATTATTTTACATGCAAAATGACATCATCTCACTACTAGGGGGAGTTGCACAGGTTTCAAAAGTAGCAAGCAGCCATTAAAATTCACCATGTAAAGCAGAGGTGGTCATTTTTTTAATCAGGGGGCCACATGAGAAACTTGAGCTATGCTGGAGGCCCGAAACCAAAAATACACTGTACTTAAAAGGTAACAGAAGAATGTTCAAAACAGATAACAACACATTTTAAACGCTGCTAATTCTAGCATACCAAAAATGAAAGTTAAAGRTAAGAAAAAAGTAGTTCCTTGGTGGAATGATGAATGCAGTACAGCAATTAAAGAACKTAACAAAGTATTTAAAAMATTACAGAAAAATTTAACAACCGAAAACCTTATTGAATATAAAAAGAAAAGAGCGATGGCTCGCAAAATTATTAAAGAATCTAAAAAGAAAACATGGAGAGAA